AAAAGCTGTTTCAAAAGTGCTTTGAAGTGACCTCAGACACTCGATTGACTAAGAGAGTTTTGAAAAGATCACTTTAGTATCCTCAGTTGTGTAAACCTTGTAGGTAAGGCTTGGGAGGGAGTGACTAAGAGGACCTTGAACTCTGCTTGGAAGAAACTGTGGCCAGAATGTGTAGAAGAAAGGGATTTTGAAGGGTTTGAGGTTAACCCTGAGAAGCATATGCCAGCTGTGGAATCCATTGTGGCATTGGAGAAGTCCTTGGGGTAGGAGGTTAGTGGGGAGGATGTGGAAGAATTGGTGGAGGAGGACAATGAAGAACTAACCACTGATGAGCTGCAAGATCATCTTCAACAGCAAGAGGCCAGACCTGAGGAAACTGCTTCAGAGGAGGGGAGAGAGAAATTGAGGCAGTTGCCTACTTCAAAGATTAAGGAAATGTGTGCAAAGTGGGTTGAACTGCAAACCTTTGCGGATGAAAATCACCCTGACACAGCTACTGCAAGCCGTGTTGGCAACCGGTACAATGACAACGTTATGGCCCATTTTAGGAAAGTCTTAAAGGAACAGGAGGTACAGAGCTCTATGGACAGACTTGTTGTGCAACAGAGGTCCAGTGACTCTCAAGCTGGTCCTAGTGGCATTAAAAGAAGAAGGGAAGTAACCCTGGAAAAGGACTTGCTACCTCAAGTCCTAATGGAAGGAGATTCCCCTTCTAAACAATAACTTCCACACTTTCCCCTCCTCCCATCCCATCAATCCTCACCAGATCTTCAATAAAGGTAAGTGTCATGTATTCTATTCATAGTAGAGTATTAACTGTGCATGTCTTATTCAGTTTGTGTGCATTAAAATTAATATATCATGTGTTAATTTTTTTTTTTTTCATACTTTGGGGTGTCAGGAATGGATTAATTTGATTTCCATTGTTTCTCATGGGAAAAATTAATTCGCCTTACGATAATTTCGGCATACAATGAGCTGTCAGGAATGGATTAATATCGTAAGGCAGGGGTCCACTGAATTTTAAGGTAAGTAATAGGTCTACTGTGTGTGTATTTTACTTTTCATTGTTTTTAACCCTTTGAGGGTCGACAGGCCCTCTCAGAAACTTGTTCTCAGGGTCGGCCAAATTTCAAAAAAAAAAAAAATTATTTTTCTTACGAAAAAATAGTTTTCTCTTCTAAACATTATAGGATAAACAAAAATTTTTACCATCAATACTTACGGAGATATGGAGGCGTAAAGTTTGCAGAAAATGAGCGCCGTATGGCAACAGCAGCGACTGCCGCTCACCGGTAAACTTTAGTTTACTTGTATTTGAAGGTTTGTTGTTTTTTTCACTATTTTATTTTTTCACATTACTTATGTGGCCTATGAGACCAATGTAAGGTGCAATGTACAAATATACACTCATTGTATACAACACAATAAGCACACAAACATAATTATCAATATATTGTTTACAAAACTTGTTTACAAAAACAAACAATACAAAACATTGTTTATTATTATTGTTCTCTAATATATATACCAATATACAGTCACTGAACATATTCCTAGAAGTTCTGCAGCTTGTGGAACTCTTTGAAACATGGTGTCATACACAATGGTGTTTTATCTTTCTCCCTCATTCTATCTCTTTCAATCTGTCTCTCTCTTTCTGTCTCACAGGTACACATAAATACAAGTATACATAGTATAAATTACCTAGGATAACCCAAGAAATCCAGACAAAGTGCTATACTCTGCTTGAAGATGTGAGTAAAAGTGATGACACAGTCTTGTGGCTCTCTGAGACAGAGAGCTAGATGGATAGACAGACAGACAGGGAGCTTGACAGACAGACAAATAGACATACAGAAATGTTAGTGTACCAGCAGAAACAAAGGGAGGGCGATGTTCATCTAATCTTTTCTTATCAGTTCCACCCTTGTTTACACTCATCAAGTCATCTCTTATCAGATGTTATCTCCCCTTATCTTGTCACTGTCATGGGGTGGACATTTTTTTTTCTTGCTTCAAGGGAAAAATATTATTACATCTTCTTCCTCTTCTTCCTCCTCTTCTTCCTCTTCTTCTCTTTCCTCCTCTTCCCCTACTCTTCCCCCTACTCTTCCTCTTCCTCCTCTTCTTTCCTCTTCCCCCTAATCTTCCTCTTCCCCCTAATCTTCCTCTTCCCCCTAATCTTCCTCTTCCCCCTAATCTTCCTACTATTCCTCTTCCTCCTCCTCTTCCTCCTACTCTTCCTCCTACTCTTCCTCCTACTCTTCCTCCTACTCTTCCTCCTACTCTTCCTCCTCTCTTCCTCCTACTCTTCCTCCCTACTCTTCCTCCTACTCTTCCTCCTACTCTTCCTCCTACTCTTCCTCCTCCTCCTTCTCTTCTTCCTCCTCCTTCTTCTCTTCTTCCTCCTCTTCCCCCTAATCTTCCTCCTATTCCCTCTTCCTCCTACCTCTTCCTCTTCTCCTCCTCCTACTTCCTCTTCCTCACTCCTCTTCCTCCTCTTCCTCTCTTCCTCCCCTACTTCCTCCTACCTTCTTCCTCCCCCTCTTCCTCCTCCTCTCCTCTTCCATGGTGTAAATTACCAGGAGTCGGCAGCTGTCAAAATGACATTGTCTCATTTCTCACTCCCCCTCCCGCCTGTCAAAACAATGGGGTCGGATGCTGCTTCCCCTCCATTCTATCTAATTATCTTTCTCCCTCATTCTATCTCTTTCTATCTGCTGTCTATCTCTGTCTCACAGGTACACATAAATACAAGTATACATATTATAAATTACCTAGGATAACCCAAGAAATCCAGACAAAGTGGTATACTCCGCTTGAAGATGTGAGTAAAAGTGATGACGCAGTCTTGTGGCTCTCTGAGACAGAGCTAGACGGATAGACAGAAGACAGGGAGCTTGACAGACAGATCATAATAGACAACAGAAATGTTAGTGTACCAGCTAGAAACAAAGGGAGGGTGATGTTCATCTAATCTTTTGGTATCAGCTCCACCCTCATTCCCTCATCAAAGTCAGCTCTATCAGATGTTATCTCCCCTGTATCTTGGTCACTGTCTGGGGTGTTTGAGTGATATGTTGTTTTATGTATGTTTGTGTGTTAGTGGTGATTATTATATGGTATGTAGAGGATGTTAATTGTATTAGAGAGTGAGTATATTATTATATGATTATTATGTACATTGTATTATACGTTTTCTTTTCTCTTCCCCTCCCCACTCTCCTTCCTCCTCCCTTCCTTTCCTCCTCTTCCTCTCTCCTCCTCATCCTCTCTCCTCTCTTCTCCTCTCCCTTCTTCCTCCTCTTCCTCCTCTTCCTCTCTTCCTTCTCTCCTCTTCCTCTTCCTCCTCTCCCTCTACCTCCTCTCCTCCTCTTCCTCCTCTCCTCCTCTTCTCCTCCTCCTCTTCTCCTCCTCCTCTCTCTCTTCCTCTCCCTCCTCCTCTTCCCTTCTTCCTCTCTCCTCCTCTTCCTCCTCTCTCCTCTTCCCTCCTCCTCCTCTTCCTCCCTCCTCCTCCTCTCTTCCTCCTCCTCTTCCTCCTCTTCCTTCCTCCTTCCTCTTCCTCCTCTTCTTCCTCATCTCTTCCTCCTCTCTCCTCCTCCTCTTCCTCCTCCTCCTCTTCCTCCTCCTCCTCTTCCTCCTCCTCTTCCTCCTCCTCTCTCTCCTCCTCCTCTTCTTCCTCTCTCCTCCTCTTCTTCCTCCTCCTCTTCCTCCTCCTCCTCCTCTTCTCCTCTCTCTCTCTCCTCCTCCTCTCCTCTCTCCTCTCCTCTGCCTCCTCCTCCTCCTCTGCCTCCTCCTCCTCCTCCTCTCTCTGCCTCCTCCTCTGCCTCCTCCTCCTCCTCCTCTTGCCTCCTCCTCCTCCTCCTCCTCTGCTCTCCTCCTCCTCCTCTCGCCTCCTCTCCTCCTCCTCCTCTGCCTCCTCCTCCTCCTCCTCCTCCTCCTCCTGCCTCCTCCTCCTCTGCCTCCTCCTCCTTCCTCCTCCTGCCTCCTCCTCCTCTGCCTCCTCCTCCTCCTCTGCCTCCTCCTCCTCTGCCTCCTCCTCCTCTGCCTCCTCCTCCTCTGCCTCCTCCTCCTCCTCTGCCTCCTCCTCCTCCTTTGCCTCCTCCTCCTCCTCCTCCATTCTTGGAACAAGTTTGAAGAGCTTGTAGTTCATAATCACTATCACTATCATCACCAATGCTCACATCTGAGTCTGGGATTTGGGAAAATAGGAGTTTCCTCTTTGATTCTGGTACAACTGAACGTGAACAAGACGGCCCAGCACCATAGGTGGAAGGCTGTGGGTTGTCTGGGTTTTCCTCACTATTACCCATATTATGGTCATTAGTTTCGGTCAAAACCTCACCAGAACCTTGAAACTCATCTTCACTGTCACTTCCATCTGTATTAGAACTGTCACTGGGGAACAAAAGTGTCCCAATTCGCCGAGGAGTGAGGAACTTCTTACCGCGAGGCATGGTGGACATTGTGTACTATGATGGCATTCCCACAATGCACCACTGGGTCCCAGATTTTTTTCCTACTGCGCACACCCACCACACAGACCCATTCTCTCACATCTAGGCCTATCAGCCTTTTCCTGCGAGATTTGACAGCGCTAGAATTTATGCATACTAGTACGTCAAAAACCCCTGTGCGTAAGACGTACTAGTACGGCCGAAACCCTCAAAGGGTTAATGCACAGTTCAATTGTTACCTTAACATATGTTAGTGTAAACTTGTTATCTGGCATTTGTATGCATTTATAAGTAAAAAAATGGTGTTCTGCTTTCCGGCGATGTCTGCTTTAAAGCAGTAGCCTGGAACCTAACCTGCCATAAAAGTGGGGCCCAAGTGTATATTAAATGTCATTTTCGATTTTTGGTTATCGTATTTATAGAGTGACGTGAGAGTATTTGTGAAATTCTTGAAAGAACAGGTACTCAAGAATTATAAAATATCAAATTATAAATTATTATTGTATTACTATTATTGTATTACTATTATGGTTGTTTCAGGCACGAGTAAGTAACATGAAGGACAATCTACCTATTTACTTGATGCACACTATGTGGCGTATGAGAACTGAAGAAGATTACTATCCCAAACTGGACATCCTTGAGCTTTATAAACTGGTCACAATGAAGTCGTATGGTATAGAACAGTTAAATCCCATGCTACTAACACTAACAGGTGGGGAAGCCATCACTAATCAGGAAAAAGTAAGTCATAACCGAAGAAATGCAATTTTTTCTAATACGCACAGTTTTTTCAAAATTATATTAACCTCAATTTCTTTAGCGATCAAGTTAATGAGTTCATCAAAATTCACAGCTTTATTTCAAAACATAAATGCATTAACTTCTGACCCTTAAACTGTGGGATACCCTGAAAAAAAAATCCTGTCTGAAAAAAAAAAAATTCCACCAGTACGATCGAGTTCATTTTTCTGAAAAAAAAAAAAAAAAAAAGAAAAAAAAAAAAAAATTTAGATGTGTTGAAAATGGAGAAAAAATGATTAGTTACTGGCAACAGTGGCATAAATGTGCCAGTGATAGTTACATTTTACAATTTATTAATGCCATGTTTTTTTTTTTTTTTGTAATTGCTTTTAATGTTTAACACTTTATACAATAGTTTGTGTGTTTAAAGATGCTTTAACACATCAAACATTGGGAAATACTTAAACTGATATTACTCCATTTGGAATGTACTTGTATGGTACATATATGGAATAACTGTTTTTGTTCTTCTTTACTACACCTACCTTTCTTGACTTACGACCTGCTCGACATGCGTCCACTCAACTTACGAAGATATTTATGCCAAATTTCTGGGAAATAAACACCTGTTGGTGTTGTACACGTTATTTCTCCTAAACCTCAGAGTATAAAATACAGTACTAACAGCATAAAAAGTAAAGTAAAAAATGAAATACCAAAATAAAACAATAAAATAAAATCATTACAAAAGTGTGATGTTGATATTCAGTAGTAAGGTTCAACTTACGTCCGTTTTGACTTATGACCAGTTGGTTGGAACCAAGCTCGGTCATAAGTTGGATGGTACCTGTACTTTGGCATTTTACAGCCACAGAAGACCATCATTTAACACGGTAGTTACGTTCCTGAAAATGCTGTGTGAGGTAAAATCATGTTAGATGAACTGAAGAACTTATGGGAAAAATAGGGTTACTTTCCTGTAGCCCCCAAAAAGCCAAACATCTTTCTTTTAGACTAACAGATCTTACAAAAATAAAAGTGTATATGTAATTGTAGTTCACTGTTGTCCAGAGGGCTGAGGAAGGGTTGTTGAGGTGGTTCGGAAATGTAGAGAGAATGGAGTTGAAACAGTGGGCTCAAGAGTGAACAGCTTAGTGGGAAAGGGAAAGGGGGGTAGGGGTCGGCTGGAAAGGTTGGAGGGAGGGAGTAAAGGAGGTTTTGTGTGGAGGGCTTGGACTTCAAGCGGGCAGCTGGCATGTTTCATAGGAGTGAATGGAGCAAATGGTTTTTATACTTGACATGCGTTGGAGTGTGAGCAAGTACATTTATAAAGGGATTAGGGAAAAAGTCAGGCGGGCTTGAGTCCGGAGATGGGAAGTACAGTGCCTGCACTCTGAGGAGGGTGTTAAGTTGCAGTTTTTGAAATGTAGGGAAAAACACCCCTTTTGGCAAGACAGTGATGGAGTGAATGAGGTTTTAAGTTTTTCTTTTTCGGGCCACCCGCCTTGGTGGGGAAAGGCCAGGTTTAATTAAAAAAAATAATAAAACAATAAATTTAAAAATAATAAAATAATAATACATGATAATAATATTTTTTGTATTTATCACACTGGCCCATTCCCCCCCAAAGGGAGGGTGGCCCGAAAAAAAAAAACTTTCACCACATTCACTCCTCACTGTCTTTTCCCGAAGGGGCTTTACACCAGTTTTTAAACGCAACATTAAAACCCCTCCTTCGGGCAGGGACTGTACTTCCCATCTCCCGGACTCAAAAACCGGCCTGCGGGTTTCCCGAACCCCTTTATAAATGTTACTTTGCTCACATCCAACAGCACGTCAAGATTTTAAAAACCCTTTGTCTCCATCATCCTATCAAAAAACCTAAGCAACCTGTGGAAGTCCCAAACCCCCCGCACACAAAAAACCCCTTTTTCCCCCCTCTCCACCTTTCCCAGGGCCCACCCCCCCCCCTTCCTTTTCCCCTACAAATGATTTTCACTTTGAAATCATTCTGTTTCGCTCCATTCTCTTTTCTTTCCGAACCACCTCAACAACCCCTTTTCACCCCCCCCGGGGCAACATTTTGGTAATCCCCCCACCCCTCCTAATTCCAAACTCAATTTCTGCTTTAAATTACACCACACATGCCCCAGACAGACTTTTCCCTGCCTCCCGCCTTGAGGTTCGAAAGGGCCATCACTAGAGGGAGTGATTACCAAACAATGAGCGAGCAGTTTTGGCCACCTCCACTTTTCATAATAATTTTTTTTCATTTAGAGATTATAGGTTTCTTTTTTATTTATATTTTTTTGTACATTAGATGAATTGGAAAGATAAAAAGAGGGGAAATTTATATTTGTGAAAAATTAAGAAGTATTTTGTCCGTCTCCAGACAAACTCTCGTCCGCTGTCGATACCACTATGTAGCCACATACGTAATGACAGTTTGTTCATTCTAGAGTATGTATCAGGTTTCTTTGTTATTTATATTGCTTATTATGTCATTAGATGAATTGTGATAGATAAATAAGCCATATAGATGATATTAGCGAAATATTGAAGTATCTTGTCGTGCCTCCTGAGAGCCTGAACAGATTAGTGTAATTGCATTTCAGTTAATTTAAATGAGGGAAATGACTTTGCAAATGAACAAATCCAGATGCGAGCATGGTCACGAAAAGGATTAAACTCGTCCCAGATTATTATTATTATTATAATCAAAGAAAGTGCTAAACTGACAAGGGTCATACAGCGCTGCGGGGCAGAAAATAATGCTGAGGCCATAAACAGCTAGGTGGAGAGGGGACCAGAGGTGAGGGGAGTATAGGGTTGAAAGGGATGCTAAGGGCTATGCGTCAAAGTTCGTACAGCAAAGCAGTTGCTAACAAAGTCAAGAAGTGATTGTAAGTCAAAGGCAGGGCTTTGCAAGAAGGGAAGATAAGGTAAGAGTGGCAAGGCAACAGCGTCGTTAGAGGTAAATCCTGTGAGCTCACTGGTAAACTGGGCAATTGACAAGTGAAGAACCAAAATTGGGACCTGACATACCTCACAGAGAGGAATAGGGTGCTGTTCCACGAGGTACCCATGGGTAAGGCGGGTAATGGCCAATGCGGAGCCAGGAGAGAGCAGTCTCTCGACTAGTCCCAGAGCTGAGGGGTATGAGCTATGAAGAGAGACTAGAGGAACTAAACCTGATGACACTGGCAGAGAAGCTTTGTTCTGTGCATAGTACACTGAAGCCTTCAGTTAATGCCAGAGAAGCTTTCTGCTTTTTAATACACAGAAGCCTTCTGTTATCTACTTATGGTACAGAGAAACCCTGTCTATTTTCTCGCAAGTTTTTACTATTCTTCAGTTGATTATGTATCCACTTATTCTATCAACAAGATGTGGGGTCTTCCTTCTTTATAACACATGAATATTAACTATATAATTAATATCAATAAAAAAAAATCTCAATATTGAATCTAGGGCCACAGATCCTTTAAACCAATGTGGGGAAAAAGGCAACTCCATTCATGGGTGAAGCAAGCCAATAAAAGCCTTTACTACTACTACTACTACTACTAGTTTCATGCTTTCATGTCTCAGTTGAAAATGCATCACTTTTTAGAGTTCACAGTTCTGATGATCATACTGTCACTCTTGAATATAAACTTTAGTATTTTTTTTCTTATCATGGTTGTTGTCTTTATAGACTAATGTGCTAGAGCTTGTAAATTTCTCAAAAGAACAGGCACTCAAGAATAACAAAATCACAAGTCATTATTTTTCATTACTTGGTGTTAAATCTCCAATTTGTACTAGAACCAAAATGCTTTTTTCAGAAAAAACTGGATGACGGAGAAGATGTGCTTTACAGTGACTCTGAGGAGGAATATGAACATCGCATGGCCAAGGTAAACAAAGACAAGACACTGACAACTACTATATTATTAATGACATACAGAACTGACAAGTTGAAGAAAAAGACATGCAACATTTTGGCTATAAAGATACCCAGGAGTTGCACATCTTATTCTTCCACAGACAAAGATAAGTTCCAGAGCAAGTTTTTATTGGGACAACTTTATGCTCTGTGTAGAACTTTATCATTTGTGACTTGATAAAATTCTATACATCTTAACAAGTAGTATGGCTCACAAATTTTTTATTACTATACAGTGAACCCTCATTTTTCGTAAGGCTCGAAAGTCAGAATTTTCAGAAATCGTGACTTTTTTTTGTTAAAACTGACTCGTGAATCGTCATTTGATTCACAAATAGTCTTTTATCTCGGACGTGTACTCACGGACCCGAGCCGCCTCACACTCCATTCCCAGCCAGTGTGGCATTGTTTACCAGTGAGTGACCATCCCCTCATATGTTCATTTTTAGTAATTTTATACATACAGAGGTACAAAAAATACAGGTAAGAGCAGCATGCCAAAGCCACTTATATGCATAGCATTATGGGCTGGCTTAAAATTAACTTAAGATTAACTATGCAATGATGAAATCAGTGACAAAACATTATTGTAAACAGATAACTATAAAGCACAAATGAGTATTACAAAGACAGGTCATATGGTTGCATGCATTGCTGTACATTCAGTCGAATGGAGTATTCTGTTAGGTAGTGTATTTAAAAAAATAACAAAGTTAGATTGGGTCCTAGGTTTAACATTTGTGTGATATAATTGTGAGTAACATATAGGATATACAATTTATAAGGTTCAGTTATTCAGTATTTATTTGGTTTGAGTGAGTAAGTGATCTTTGAGAAGAGACTTGAATTTATAAACAGGTAGTGTTTCTTTTATATTTACAGGTAATGAATTCCAGATTTTAGGGCCTTTTATGTGCATTGAGTTTTTACATAGTGCGAGATGGACACGAGGAACATCAAAGAGTGATCTGTGCCTTGTGTTATGGTCATGTGTTCTGTTGAGGTTGGCAAGGAGATGTTTGAGGGGAGGGTTAATATCAGAGTTAAGTGTTCTATGTATGTAATAGGTGCAATAATAAGTATGGATGTTTTGTATGGTGAGTAGGGTGAGTGTTTTGAATATTGGTGGAGTGTGCTGCCTGTAGTGAGAATTTGTTATCATTCTAACTGCAGCCTTTTGTTGGGTAATTAGTGGTCTGAGATGGTTAATTGTTGTTGAGCCCCATGCACAAATTCCATAGGTGAGATAGGGGTAAATAAGAGAGTGATAAAGGGCCAGGAGGGCTGACTGTGGAACATAGTACCGTATCTTCGATAGTATGCCTACAGTCTTGGAAATTTTCTTAGAAATTTGTTGTATGTGTGTATGAAATTTGAGTCTATTATCAAGGTGGAATATTTCATAATATTTCATTCATTTTAGTGCTTGCAACTGCTAAATAAGCTACAATGGCTCCAAAGAAAGCTCCTAGTGCCATGCCATTGGCAAAGAAGGCGAGAAATACGATTGAATTCAAGAAAAACATCATTGAACAATATGAAAGTGGCGTACATGTGGCAGAACTGGCCAGGATGTATAAGAAACCCCACACAACCATAGCTTTCATCGTGGCCAAGAAAAAGGAAGTCAAGGAAGCTGTTGTTACAAAGGGGGTAAATATGCTGACAAAAATGAGATCGCCAGTACTCGAAGATGTTGAAAAGTTATTGTAAGTGTGGATCAACGAGAAACAATCAGCAGGAGATAGTCTTATGCAGTCGCTTATTTGTGAAAAGGCTAGGCAGTTGCATGACGATCTAGTAAAGAAATTGTCTACAACGAGTACTGATATTTGTGAATTTAAGGCCAGCAAAGGCTGGTTTGAGAGATTAAAGAACTGTAGTGGCATACACAGTATAAGGCATGGTGAGGCTGCCAGTTCTGACAAAAGTGCAGCTACAAAATTCCTAAGTAAATTCAAGGAGTACATACAGACTGAACAATTAAAACCCCAACAACAAGTGTTCAATTGCGACGAAACAGGCCTCTTTTGGAAGAAAATGCCAAAGAGGACCTACATTACTCAGGAGGAAAAGGCACTGCCATGACACAAGCCTATGAAAGACAGGTTGACGCTAATGTTTTGCAGTAATGCTAGTGGGGATTGCAAAGCGAAGGCATTACTAGTGTACCATTCTGAAAATCCCAGTGTGTTCAAGGAAAACAATGCCATGAAGAGTAAACTGTGTGTGTATTGGAAAGCTAATAATAAGGCATGGGTCACGAGGGAAATTTTCATTGATTGGTTCCACGAAGTGTTTGGCCCCATTGTGAAGAATTACCTCCTGGAAAATAAATGGGATCTCAAGTGCCTCCTGCTAATGGACAATGCACCTGCTCATCCTCCTAACTTGGAAGACCTAATTCTGGAGGAGTCTGGGTTCATCACAGTGAAGTTCTTGCCTCCTAATACCACTCCTCTCCTCCAGCCCATAGACCAGCAGATCATTTCAAACTTTAAAAAACTCTACACCAAAACAATGTTTCAAAGGTGCTTTAATGTGACCTCAGACACTCCCTTGACCCTAAGTTTGTTTTGGAAAGATCACTTCAGTATCCTCCATTACATAAGCCTTATGGGGGAGGGACTAGCAGAACTTTGAACTCTGCTCGGAGAAACTTGTGGCCAGATTGTGTCCACAAGAGGGGCTGGATCTGTGTTCCAGGTCCCTAAATAATAATAATAATTATTGTCATTATTATAACACTTACGTACTACTAATAATGATAATACCTTATAATTACGTATAATATAATACTATATAATAAAATAATACTATATAAAAATAAAAAATATAATATATATAATGACATAATAGAACAATAATAATTATAATAATAATACTATGTACGTACTGCACATAACTTAGTTTGACAACACCACCACAATGGTCACCAGTGCACATGTGCTTATGGAGCTACCTTTGTGGTGCAAGGAATTCTCGTAATTTTCTTATGTTTCATGCAGTTAATTCACCAGATTTCTGTCTTCTAACCATGGGTCCTAAGGAAGCAAGTGCAAAGGACAGTGCTGAGAAGATAAAGAGAATGATTTTCATGGAATTAAAGCAAGAAATGATTAAATAACAAAAAAAGGCACAATACCGTGACTGGAACAATACACAAATAACCCGCACATAGAAGAAACGAGCTTACGACAACGTTTCAGTCTGACTTGGACCATTTACAAAGTGCAACCTTTTCTTGAAGCTCTTAATAATCTTGCCCCTTCCATTAAGTTTAAAGCTGAATGGGAATCTAATTTCTTGCTTCTTTTCCTTGATGTACTTGTCCACCGCTAAGATACAGGTTTTTCCTTTCCCGTTTACCACAAACCTATACACAGTGGCATGTACATTCACTACTTTTCCTATCATGCTTTCCCTGTCAAGAGAAGTGTTCTTATCTTCCTCTTTCTCTGTGCCCTCCGCATCTGTGATGCTCAGTTCCTTCCAGCAGAAATTTCCACTCTTAATAATTCGTTTTCCTGTCTTGGCTACCCTTCCCATTTCATAGACTGCCCTCTTTTGTGCTAAATGTAATTTCTTCTCTCTCAAACTCTCTACTCCTGGGAACCCTTCTGTCCTCTGCTTTCCTTACATTTCCGGTCTTTCTAATCTCAACAACTCTCTCTGTTCCTTAGACATCAAGCTTACTTTCCGCCAGACTAACACTCTTCACACTAATCTTGTTCCTACCTCTCCTCCCTCTACTGATGCTCCTGGTGTCTACTCTATTTCTTGCTCCTCCTGTCCTCTTCAATATAGTGGACCCCCGCTTAACGATCACCTCCCAATGTGACCAATTATGTAAGTGCGTTTGTACATGTATGTTTGGGGGTCTGAAATGGACTAATCTGCTTCACAATATTCCTTATGGGAACAAATTCGGTCAGTACTGGCACCTGAACATACTTCTGGAATGAAAACATATCGTTAACCGGGGGTCCACTGTACTTTGGAGAAGCTGGCCGATCTCTTTCTGACAGACTTAGGGAGCACAAAAATAGTGTAAGGCTTCTGACACTAACAATGCTCTTTTCTGTCACGTCAGAGATCACAGCCATCCTATTGACTGGTCTTCTGCTAAAGCTGTCTGCCCTACTTCCAACTTTAACAGTCGCCGTCTGGTCGAATCCTCCCTCATACACAACTTTCCTTGTATGAATCTTAGTCCTGGCTTTGTCTCTGTAGATGCCTTCCTCTCCCACTACATTGTAAAATGCTCCTAACTTCAGAACACCGGTGACTTAACATGATTCCTCCTATTTCTTCTTCTCCCTCTTCTCCTTTCCTCTTTCCTTTTTCTCTTCTCGGTTGTCTTTCTTTCCTCTGCCTTGTTTCTGTTCCTTAATTATTATTTTATTATTTAACCCCCCTCTGTGTTCTTGCTCTCCCTCTGTGGGCACCTAGCTCCCTTGCAGTGCTCCCCTCTCTTAGTATTTGACTGGCTCCTCCTCCTTACTTCCCCACTACTACTACCTTCCACCTGCACTACTACTACTACTACTACTACTACTTCCACTACCACTTCCCGCCTATATATACCTGTCCTGCTCTACTTCTCGTTAGTGTGACCTTGTAAATGGTCCAAGTCAGACTGAAACATCGTTATTTGTGTAAGAAATGATTAATAAGCATAGACTAGGTACAAGGGTTGAGGACTTGGCGAGTTGAGTACAAGTGTAGCCCCTCTACTATATGTACCTATGGGTTTAGCGCTTCCCCATGATTATAATAATAATAATAATCTACTATATGTACAATACTAAAGCAGGAGTCTATAAAGGCTATAGTGCCAGCAAAGGGCATTACAGTAATTTCTAAGCAGTGGACCTCTGTCAATTAAAAGATGGTAAAGCTGCTGTTGACATGGTTGATGGAGAAACAGCTCACAGGAGATACATAGTGTAGTGAAATAAACATAAAAAT